AACATCCATATTTGGGTGTATGGCAAATAAAATTTTTCTTTTGCAAAATCAGGGTATTAACCATAACATGATTAAGGTCTTTGCAGAGTTAAGATTATAGAAAGAACAAAGAAGAATGTGAGCAATTTCCTGAAAAAGAAATTGAAAGAGTATCTTGATTCAGATTTCAGGCCAAGTATAATCATAATCTCAGTAAGTAACCTCACAACTCTATCATTTATAAACATGTAGATAGCAAATAAAAAGAATCATCCCTTTGCTTTTCTTTGGTTTTTAATTGGCAGTTTTTAAAGGTTTACTTTCTTTAGGCTAAAGAAAACCTGCATGGATCAGAAAAACCCAGTTTAAGAAAATGTTTTAAGTCAGTCATGTTAAGAGTTTCACTGGAAATTCATTTTTGCATAACAGTTTTGGAAAGTAATATTCTGTCCACAGGACTAAAGTTGTTTTGCAGTTTGAATTACAAACCAAAAATGTCCATCAGAAGTTGAGTGGACATTGCTGAATGGATACATAAGTAACATAGACTTTATGTTCAGTCATTCTTCCATTAGCACTTAAAAAAAATTAAGGTTCAATTATGTGCATGGATGAGAAATTAATATTAACCATAAAGAAAATATTCTTGGGGAGTTCTTTTGTATTTTAAGTAATTAACAAAGATGCTTCATTAGTTAAAATATATTATGCATTTTAAAATGTTTGAATTTTTAAAGTTTGTCTTTTAGTCTTTTTTAAAGAAGGTATTTGTTTTGTTTGGCATACGTAACGAATATATTCATTATGATGGATGAATACACACATATATTGCATCTTATCCCTTTTTACTTCTCCTTTCTCTGCTCTCCTTCCCACTTCCCCCATTCCCAAATGCCCTTTCCATCTGCACAAAGTCTGTCTCTCCATTTCATTATCATCTTTCTTTATTTCGTACTTCTTGAAATTATATTTTCAGTTTCTCATATAATGGAAACCATGCAATATTCACCCTTTGTGTCAAATTAATTTTCTTAGCATTGTTATTGAATGTCATTAAAGTATCAGAGAATTCCAGAACTCAAAGTATCAGTAGAAAAGATTTTTCACTTGCTCAGTTAAACAGCAAACTCCCCCAGCACTGTGACTGTTATCTACTTGATCAACATCGTGGTGTAGTGGACTAGCACGTAACACAGTCTCTCCTTTGAGAAGAATAGAAATACAAAATCTTGAGCACTTCACAGTCATGTAATTACTGAACCATTTGGGTATTTTTCAGTCTGTGGTACTGTCTGAATGTCCTTGTGCCCCTAAATTCATGTTTTAACTCCTCATCCTCAAAGTCATGGTACTTGGAGATGTAGATTGGAGAGATAATCAAGTCATCAGAGTAAAAACCCAAACAACAGGCTCTTTCCCATCATAAGGTGATGCTCCTCCACCATATCAGCACTCAGCAAGAAGGAGCCCATCTGCTTCCCCAAGAGGGCCCTCCCAGGAGCAGGAAGAACTTGACCTTGAATTTACCAGCTTCTTGTGCTGTAAAAAATAAATCATGCAGTTTTTGCTGTTTGTTTCAACAGCCTGAGATTCGGTGTAGCAGAGATCTATGTTGGGAGGCCAGATGAAGAGGCACGGGGGATTGTTGGGGGAGAGAAGAAGAACATGAAAGACTTTGAGGTGCGGGATGCCCTAACTTGGTCTTAGTAGACGAATGGTAAAGCACAGATGCATGGAATCTAACATTTGGATACAACAATCCCTTCGTTTAAGGACGAGGAAATGAGCGCTGTAGGTGAAGCGTATTGCTTATGATGAAGGAAAGATGATGGAGGAAACAGGAGGTAACATTAGAATCATAGATTTTAAATGTTTCGGAGAAGTTAACTGAGTTACGATAGAGTTTTGTTCCCTTTCTTATTTGATGTTTAACTAAAATTTATATTTATGGCCAGTGGCAAAATATCTAAAGCAGTATGGAAAGTCACAGAAATCAGCTAAACATTGGAGAGAATACTGAGACTCGGACAGAGTTAAGATCTTATTAACGTTTGAACTCTAAGTTCAATGTGCTCCTTTCCATCGTGGGCAGCATTCTGTCATGGATCGTATCATGACCTTCCATGAATTCTATTTTTGATCCTTGCCAGGGCCAAGAGTCTCAGGGACAGGATTTTTTGGTTATGACTCTCACCCAATCAGTGGTGATCCAAGTGTTTTTGTCTAAATTGGCGTTTTGAGGGGTCCAGTTTAGAAACAAGGAATAAAGGTTGTAACCTGTGGCCATATCCAAATCACAAATGTAGAACTCAGTTTCTAGCAGAAGGTACTCAGCATATAATTCCAGGTGTTCATCCGTGGTTTGTTCCGTAACATGTTGGGTTACTCAGATTTTATAGGGGAGGGATGCAAGTAATAGTGATGCATTTTAGTTATCTCAGCTGATGAAGATGTAAAAAAATAGGTAAGAAAGCAAGGAACTGGAGAGACCCCTCTTGGCCTCTGCCATCCAGTTATGATTCCCCTATTAAACTGAACATGTTCCTTTCTTATGATGACTGTCAAATGTGGCGGTTAATGCGTGTAGCCATAGGAAGACCTAGTCTATGACTCTAGGTTATGGTTTCTAGTTTCTCATCCTTTGCCTTGGTGGGAATATCGTGTATTAAAAATAATTTTAATTATTTTTGCCCTTAGGCCTCTTTATTTGAGCTAGAATCTGACTTTGGTAGACCAGCGTCCACTGAACATAGTGTGCTTTTTTTTTTTTTTTATTGGTGCTTGAATGTAAATTCTTCTTGTAGGTTACTGACCAGATACTCACATTTGGCCTGAACTGATCATTGTCTCATTCAGTTGGAGCCTGGAGAATGGGGGATCAAGGCAAAATGAACTAAAAGGAACAAATTCTCTGTGTTGGGTAACTTCACCAGTAGAAACCAGTTAAATTTATGGGCTTCCCAGTATCTACAAAAATATAGAATATGTGGTTTCTCTAAACCAATAAATATTAATGAACATCTAATATTTGATAACTATTCTACAAAATATAGATGAAACTCAAGGATACACAGTTTCTGCTAGTAAGAAGTTTGATGCAAGCACAAAAATCTTCACAATGGGCACAGCTAGAAAATAATCGAAAATATTCAGGCCATTGAATGTTTTCCTCAAAACCAAAGCAGAAACACAGTTCATTTCTTCACTTCTTGTAAAAGAATTGGCACAAGAAACCAACCTTTTATAAAACAGACAAACTCTTCCATAAGTTTGTCACTTATATCGTTATTACAGGATCAGAGCATAAATGCCAAATGAATGTTTTTGAGAAGAGGTGTGCCTGAGAGTCATCCTAAAATCTAAAGAAAACAAGACTAAAGGACGAATGAAAGAAAAGAAGACGGGGGTGGGGGTGATAAAGATAGAATCTTCAAAGGCTGCAGGCAGGATCTGCAGTGGTCACTGCCATTTTGGTCGAGTCTCCGTCATGGGCTCCAGTTTCTCCCTGCCGTAGGCTGCTTCTACTGAAATAGCACACTCAGCTGGGGTGGCCTGGGCACTGGGCCTGCCAGAATCTGGGAAAAGGAAGGCTTCGGGCCTCAGGCCTTCTCTGTTCCCGTGTGTCCAAGCTCCATGGACATTCGTAAAGGACAGGATCATGGAGAAAATGTGTGAGAGATGAAGGAAGGGAGAGGTCTCAGATGATGACTGAGGGGCAGGATGGTTTGATTTTTATGTTCCCCTGCTACTTTATATTTATACATTTGCTGCTTCAGGAGAAGCCAAACAGAAGAATTCATATAGAGAATGCCTGTGTAAATAGCAAAACAATAACCTACTATCCTTAGAAGATTTGGGCCCGGATCCATTTTCAGAACTCTGAAAGGGATCTTTAGACTGAGATGACCTGGTCCCAGGACAACTTGATTCAGAACAGCATCTCCCGTGGCTCACAGTACACAGGGAGGGTCGGGGAATGAGAAGCATAAACCTGAAGCCTGAGAAGGAGGCCTGGGGCTTGAAGTTGGTTCCAGGGCACAGTCAGCCTGATGCTCCAGGTCCTTACACAATGGTTCCAGCTTGAGACAGTGTCCATACAATCTGAAAAGCAAAGGTTGTGGCTCTACCAGTATGGGTCTTCAGGTTGACCCAGTGTCTGTGCCTTTGGAGAGGGTGGGCATGGTGGCAGAAAGGCATGATTGGGAAGAAGGAATGCTCACCAGTTTAGGACTATACTCACCTTGCAAGTATTTTGCCAGTGTGGAGCAGGGGTGGGGGTGGGGATGTAAGATCCACAGAGACCTTCTACTTGAAGCAGTGTTCACTTTTGTGTTCTAAGGGAAGCCCTGTCTGCAATGTGCGACAGCAGAGAAAAATGTGGCGCACGCGCGCGCGTGTGTGTGTGTGTGTGTGTGTGTGTGCACGCGTCCAGCATCTCTCCGGTAGTGGGCTGTCCAGGGCCAGGTGTCTAGGGCCTCTGTCGCTGCCTGGGCGGAAAGAGAATTTCAATCCCCGGTCTCCGGTGAGCCCTTTAAATGGATCCCCCCCCCCACTCCCCGCCCCTACCACGCCGCTCCAGCTCCCTGACAGGTGTTTTCCCAACTCTGGAGGCCCTGGATTTTGGGGAGTGGCTGAGCCAATGAGATTCCCCTCTCGGCGCGGGGCGTGGCCAGCCGGGTCAGGGCGGGGGCGGGCTCTGCGCGGCGGAGCCCAGCCGGCAGGTTGCGCGCAGGGCCGTGTTGTTCCACCCCCGCCCCCTCGCGTCCCGAGTCCCCGAGTCCTATTAATTTCTCGGTGGGGCTGCAGCTGGAGACCGCGGAGCGTTGGAAATGACGCTCGGAGCTTTAATTACCGCAGCCGCTGGACAAGTGTGAGCAAAGCTGACAGCAGAAAGGACGGGCTCGGGTGGGGAGCAGCCAGCGGCTCTCCCTCGGCGCCCCTCTGCGCTCCCGATTTGGACTGGAGGTGAAGGAAACTGAGAGCGGAGCCCGCCACAGCCAGGCTCGGGGGAGAGGCCGGAAACCTACCGCCTCCTTGCAATCAACTTTTTTGGGAAGCCTTCCCCCTCTGTTTTATTGTTGACCAACCAGTGAAAGACGCAGAACGAGCGAGAAAGTGAGGAGCGAGAGAGGACGCCAAGGCTCGCCCGGGAAATAGCTGTACAGTCCGGCGCGGCGCCGGGCGCAGACACTCGCGCGCACCTCGCGCGCCGCCGCCACCTCCTCCTCGGGACCCCGAGACCCGGCCCGAGCCCCGGGGGCGCAGACTCGCCCGCGCGCCCGCCCGAGAGCCCTTGCTCCGCGCGCTGCCACGCGCACCCGGCTGGGGCCCCTCCGCGCGCCCGCAGGGGGCTATGCCATTTGGACATGTAACTGTCAGCACGGGATCCGAGCCCTGCGAAAAATGAAGCTGGCGACGGGACTGTGGGGCTGGCTGAGCCTCCTCGTGGCGGCGGGGACCGTCCGGCCCGGCGCGTCTCAGTCAGGTGGGTCCCGCCTGGAAGCCGCTGCTGCGCGCGTGGGGCCTCGCGTGGCGCCCGCGCGCCTCCCGCTCGGGCTCCGCGTCGCCCCTCGCTCCCTCACCCCCCCAAACTTGCCACGGGTGTGTGTTGTTTTCGTGAAAAATGACTCCGCGCCACTGCCCCCCTCCCTGGCTTTTTGCGCCCCCTTTTTTAGACCTCTTCTTTCTGGCGCGTTTTCCGTGAGCCCGAGCCGCATCCCTTCTGGTCGCGCCTGTTGTTCGGGACAAGGGATCCCCCAACTCGGGCGGAGGAGACGCTGCTCCGCTGAGTGGGCCCCCCGAGAAGCGCGCTCCCCTAGGGGTTTGGAGAAATGGGTGTCTGGGCCGCCGCGCATCCGGCCTCTTGGAGCCGGCGCGGCGTGGGGCGCGGAGCCCGAGAGCGCGCGGCTGCACCTGCGGGCCCGGGGTCGCTCGCTGCGCAGCCCAGCCGGGCAGCTGGAAGGCGGGCGCGCCTCCGCTCGGGCCCGCAGCCGGCCTCCTCGGCCGGCGTCCCGGAGCTCCAGCCCGCCACGCTGCAGGGACACAGTGCTCGCCTGTCTGACCTCTTAGGGGAGGGTAAATAAATACATAGACAAATAGCTTGGCACCCTGGAACCGGGCGCCGGCGTTCCTGCCGGTTGCTGCGTTTGGCTCGGGGAAGAGTTCTTCCTGGAGTTCAACTCGCTCTTGGCCGCGGTCCCTCCAACTTCTGTGTTTACTGCGCGGCCCGGTCGCGCGAATTGATTAAACCCGAGGCGGGCACGCAGCGGCGGCGCTCGGTGCGCTGCCTCGGGGTGTTGTAGAGCGGTGCCCGGGTATCGGGACAGGCCAAGGGACTGACACGGGCCTCAGGAGGCAGCTGGGGGTAGGGCAGGGGCTGCAAGGACGCAGCAGCGGCCGGGCCTGGGATAGCACCTGCAGGGCCAGGGGGCTCAAAAAGTTTTTGACGCTTTGTGAGTTTCCTGGGGGATCAGAGTGGGACAAGAGAGAACGGAGGAGAACCGGGTTTGGCGTGGCCAAAGGGAGCCTTTTGGAGAGACGAGGAGATTTCCAGAGCCATCCGGGATTGGTGGCAGAAGCGTGGGAGGCAGCGTGAGGAGATCAAGTCCCCCGGAGGGCAACTAGGGAGAGCTCCGGTCCCCCAAAGGGTGTCCTTCTGACCTCACCCAGAAAACAGCGAACAGCGCGCGGTAGTTTTCCTGCTCCGCCCCCGCCGCCTCCCCCTCCCTGCCGGGTAAATAACAAGTCTCTGCCATCGAGCCCTGCAGAATGACCTTCCGGAGGCACATGTGCGCCATTTGTGCGGCCCTTTGCGCCCTCCCGGTGACTCCGAAATTCTCCACGCATGCCAGGTCCCGCACCCCAGCCACCCGCAGGAATCGCGCCCGCACCGACGGGAGATTCCAGGCGGCCTCTTAGATGCATCTTTTTATCTCCTTCCCCACTCCGAGTCCCTGCCTATCTCCCCTCCATGGGATGAGTGTACACATGGACCCCCTCGAGAGCAGGCGCAGCTGCCTCGCAGGCTTAAGCGCCAGCAGTTTCCACCCGGCGACCTCCTGGGGGTGTCTGGTTTAGCCTCGGCCGCTGGGGACCCCGCTCCGAGTCCGCAGCAATGAGTCTTCTCTGTGCGGCTCCCGGTTTTTGAGCTGTGCCGAAAAACCCTTTTCAGAATTTCTGCGAGGAATGGAATCCAAAGTAGTTCTGCAGCTATCTTTCTCCCGTCTCGGGCGGCACCGACTCGCGCCCTCTGCGTTCCCCTGGCGAAGTGCGGGACCCACAGGCGAGCGCACCGGGAGCGCCAGGATTAGCGTGCCATTGTTGTGCCGAGTGTGACTCTGTACTTGAAATTCTGGGGGCACAAAAGCGAGCCTCGCTCGTGCAGCACACAAAGTGATCGAGATAAAAGGGCCGCACAAAGGAAAGCTCTCGGTGCATCCCTGGTATAATTGCAACACGCATTATTCTAAGAGTGAGCCACTGGAAACTGTAAATGCCCTGGGGGACCCCCCCCCCCACTCCACCGCACCTGGCAGGGAAAGTTTTGCTGGTTTTCAATGTAAACCAGTAAAAACAGCGCACCGTCTGGGGTGTGCGTGAGGCTCTGCGTGTTTGTGAGTGGCTGTCTGTTCCCCAGTAAATACATACCTCGCGTCTCTCTCGCAGTTTGCAGTCAGTAGCAGTTCGGAGGAGTTTGTTTTGGTCCAAATGAGAAATTAAGTGCGGATAAGTAAACTAAGCTGCCAGAGGGCGACAAGATGTTGAGTGAATTGCTTTTAGATGAAACAAATTAAGGAAACGAGGGAAGACAATCTGCTTCTCGCATTATTAGACACGCTTGGGGTTCAGGGGAAAGTGGCATATTTTTGAAATGCTAATTTCTTAAGCAGAAGAAATGCACCTTATTTACTGCTTCATGCAAACTGTAAAAATATAGGGTCAGGGATTCTTTTGTATAGATCCTTAAGATATTTCTTAGAAAAATTAACGGAAGAAGGGCTTTTTTATTGGGTTGGCAAAAATCAGTCATGGAGAGAATTATTTAGTAATTCTAAAGGACTTCATCTCATTCCCACTAATTCATTTTATACGGACATATTAAGTCAAAGGCCTTTTAAGTGCCAATAATAAAACCTTTACTTACTCGAAGGAATAATTCTAAAGTCTCTGTCTTCCTCATATGATGGGGGATTATCAGTACAACCTTTGCATTGAAATAAGATATGTAGTTAATATTGAAGTGGCATCTTCCAGAGGTTGTGAACACGGTCACCTGCAGCTTCTCTACAAACCGTTTAGTCTTTTCATTTTACAAATATACATCTAGCCCATCTTTTCCATGTAATTAGATTATACCATTATGCCTCCAAACTTAGAGTTATTTGACATTTGAGGGGAAAAATGTTACTCAAACTTAGTTCAATGCAAAAAGATGTTAAATGTGTTTTTCAAAAAAGGACCGGTTCTCTTTTTACATGTTTCTGTAAGCATATCCATGGGTGCAGTTTCTTCTTTGTTCTTTTAATTTTGAAATTCGTGTATATATATTATTGTATATATACTAAGAGAGCTTTTTAGAAGGCACTTTTCAACAGTATCCTTAAGCAAATTAATTGGTATTGTTATAACTTCAAATTACTTGAAATACTATAACTTTGGCACTATTTTGATGAGGAGGAGTAATTTTGGCATGTCGAGTCCTTGTTTTTTCTCTTAAACTGAACTAGCTTTATTTTAATCATGCATGCATAGAAAGTCAAAAAAAATTTTTTTGAAAATCAAGGCATTTACCACTTCATATATATTTTCATTTAGTCCCTGGAAATTTGTCTTAATTAGGAAATTACATTAGAATATTTACTAGTGCATGGAGCTTCATGGAAGATTTATGTATTTTTATTCTTACCCGAACACAGTAAGTTTGCACTGATGGATCTTTAGAGTTTGCATTTATTTGACAGAAAATCATGTTGCCCCTTCACAGTGGATTCAAATATTTAGTATTCATGAGCTTTCATGTATTTGGTTTTTAAATAAAAGTTCTGTTTATCATCTGTCTTATGCGTTCACCCTTTCCATTGTTTTAGATCCTTTACATCTTAATAGTTACTGAGTATACACATGTGAACACATATTTTCCCTTCTACTGCTAAGCATACTCATTGTTTTGTGTGTCTCTAGCAACCTGCCACTCAGCCACTGCAGGAGTCCTCTGAGCCAGTTCCCATTCCTTCTCTCTGATAAATCTGATATGGCTGGTTGGCTGAACAATCGCAAGCCATTCCATTGCTCAGATTTATTCCTGAAAGAAAATAAAACAGCATCGATCCAAAATCACCAGCACATCTCAAACCCTGACTCCAAGGCCAAATCTTGCCTCAGAGAAGTCCCTCTGTACCTTTCTCTCTCTCTCCTCCTCTCTTCATCAAGGAAAGAAGATGGGCTATTGCCAATTAAAAGACGCCAGAGTTCCAAGCAGTTGTGCCCTGAGTATCTGAAGTCTGATGATGAGAGCCATCTTGAGATTAATGCTTCTCAAGGGGCACATTTTACACAATACAAATTGAGTTAGCATGTCTTAGATGCTGCCGTGGTTTACGTGATATCATTTTTTAGCTTTTACCAAGTAAGTTACTAAGAAAAGTTAACATGTATTTTAAAAATAGCACTGAGTTTTGCTTTTTAATGTTCCCCTACTGTTGTGTGTTCATATGTGATCTGTAAATCCTGAATCACAAATAAAGCAAATGATCACAAAGAATATTCTGTTATTTGCAAACTTGTGGGCATTTGCTCTGTTTAGTTTCACCCTTTTAAGAGATATTGCTTTATAAACTGTTCATATTTATGTTGAAATTATCTTACACATGTGCAGGTCCACAGCTGTTTTACAAAAATTGTCAAGCATATTCCACTATTATCTTTTACAATGATCTAGTGATATACTCTGCGGGGTAGAAGTTAATCATATTACCAACTTTTCTCCAGGATATAGCATTTTAGGGATGTTCTATTAAGTTAACACTTCACCATTTGGAACTAAATCGCATCTTTTGTCTAACACTCTTAAATAATATAAATATTGAGCAGTCGAAGTAAAGTTGCACTGTTTATGATTTCTAGAATAGTGATTGAAGTTTACAATTTATAATGAAAGATTTATAATGGAAAAATGTGATTTTCCATTTATTCATTTAAGATAGAACGATCCTAGATCCAAGTTTCTTACAATGGTAGCTCTTCTAAATAGTTTGAAGGAGCTCTTTGCACCACATTTCATGGGCAAGTGCAACCCAGGTCATAACCATGTGGTTTAAATCAAGATTTCTACATTCTGTGGACACTTCTTCCAGTCCCTTCTTAATATCTTCAGCAATCCCATCTCTTTGTGATTTGGCTTGTCTGTCTGGGAGTAAAATACATGTGGCATATTATTTCTCCACTGGTATGCACCAGTTTTATGAAAAAAAAAAAAGACTTTAAATT